GAATTTTAAAGATTGCCTCGAAAAACTCGCCTCGCTTGCCAGAATTATTGGCAACACTGTCAGTGCGATGTCAAGTTTGTCATGTCAACGAAAGTGACGCAGGCGATGGCATCGCTACTTTGGCCCCTACATTGTTTATTGTGCTGGCCCCAAGACGACAGCGGTGGTGTTTGGCACGACCATAGCACGGGAGAGCTTTCTTCCTTCCTCTGTGGTGTTTTGCCGGTGCTTCGCTGGTCTGGCTTTCACAGTTTTCATACTACGTGCCGGCAGAACCAGTATACGGCCTCCAGTTCTTAACAAATAGTACATCATATGCAGACCGGGCGCCCGGTCGGGTTTCGGTTTTGCACCTTTTTGCTTATTAAAAATTGTTTTCGAATTTCCTGAGCATTTCAGCTATTGGGCTCGTGACAAGAGTGTCTCAGGAACACAGAAACACCATTACCTTGACATGGTCGAAAAATCGCTGGAGTTGGCCTTTAAGGATGCTCACAGTGGCACAATGAATTATGTATGAATGACAAGCACACATTCTATGCATAGTGTACAAGACTGAACTTGTATGAAAAAGAATAAAAAGCGTCATGTAATATTGCAGTACCCCGACACACACACTAAAATAAAGAATACAATAGCAGTAAGAATAAAAAAAATACAGCACCCACTGAATAAATATAGGAAAACATTCAGTACACAATGCAAATATAAAACATTAATACACACAAAAAGAGACATAATAAATTTAAAGAAATTCAGACCCACCGATCTCTTTTCGGTAATATTCAGATACCTAATACAATATGCAAAACACTAGACTTTAACGAAAAAAAAATATTTCCAAAAACAATCAAACCTAGAGAGCAAGCTGGCTTACAGACAGATATTTCACAATTTGTCACAGCCATGTGGTCAATCAATTTAATCTGCACAGCACGATAAATCCCTCTATATCAGTGGTCTCAAATATGCAGCCGGGGAGGCTCTCATGTGCGGGCCCACACATAACCATTTTCACTGCACATTTAAAAACATTTTCTTGGTATGTTCATGAGCTACACAGGCATGACTGCTCTAAAGAACAATTTTTATGAGGTACACCATGTTGTCACCATGCATTGAAACATAATCGTGAAACAAAAAATCATCACCATATCCAGAAAGTGAATGATGTTAGGTGAGCTTGCTTGGAGATGATCAGGTCACCCGCGAATCCTCCGTACAAATCTTCTATTACCATATATAGACGTGGCAATGTTATATATACATAACATACTCAATGTTTATTAATTTACATTTGGATTCACTATATACTTTTTGATGAACTATATACATTATATATACTCAAACGGAATTGTTTCAATGGTATGAGTCATCATGACAAACATCTTGCCTACTAGAAGAGCTAACTAGTCACGGGTGGCGATTTCACGTCGATCGCCTCAAGGCATTTCAAGGGCCACTCACATAAAAAAACGCTCATGTTTTGAGGCATAGTGTGCACTAAACAGGGTTCCTTTAAAACTTACACAGCATAGGTTCTTCACTTCAAATACATTACAATGTAAAGGAACTTGGAGGGAAGCATACATAGGAAGCTCTTTCGAGTTCCACAAACACAACCACCTTTCTGATTTCAGAGCATTCGACCAGTGATGTATTCGCTGCCTTGTGATTTACTTTCAGCACATGTGACATGGCCACCAAGTTGTACATCACTGGACTGCAGCTTAATTTCCTTGCAGATATATATGCTTTGTTGTCGCTGCCATGGTATATTTCTTCAACAATAACAAAATGCCCATTTTGAAGTTCAACAACAGAGCTATTGGTCCTCTTGTTAGATGCATACATGCTATCAGTGATAATTGATCCCTTCGCCAACATTCTTCTGTATTTGGTGAACTCAAGGGTAGTGTCATGTAAAGATGGCTGCAAACCTGCTGATGCACGTCGGGAACCGTGTCCGAAAAAAACGGTAGCCACCACTACTAAGTACGCTTTTTTGCGTTTTTGTGCCATCAAAAGACGAGCAGTACTCTGCTACACTTGGACTGATAGCCTGCCGTTGAAGTTCTACTACCATGCTTTCCATCTGTAGGACTCGGCAGACTTGATGGGGAATTCCGTTAGCTGCTTTTACAGCTTTTTTTAGGCTGCCGTTCCCAGCTTCAAATGGGAACGCACTGTGTGCCCAAAGTGGTCCCCAGTGGCGCACACTCTTTGCTATATGAGTCAGTTGGTGCATGTTGAATGTCATGACTGACTTGCCAAACAGCAGTTCTGCACGCACATGAAACTCCAACAATAGCCCCTCGGCAATGGTGAGCTCAGTTGGGCTGATTGCACGCTGCAACATTATGTGCAAGGCTTCAACTAGGCAAGCCCAGTGTTGCATGTATGGCTTCTCAAGAATGCCATGCAAAACAGGGACACTGTAACAAAGTAGCCAGCTCTCAAGTTCCTTGGCCTTCCACCATTTCCGCTCTTTTGTCGGCCTCGGCAATCGCTTCACATCCATTGGTGGCTTAATAGACATAAGCCTGCGGTCCACTATGTGCTGATGTCGGCTTATTGAACAGGCACTATCAGAATTGAACCACAATTCTAGGAACTGGCGCGCTACCCCCAGCAAGACACAGTGCATATAGTCTGGCACAAAGCTCCACACTATGTTAAAATGGGGCAGGTTTATCAACGGTGACACTGTTTTGACTCCTTGCACAGGCACCCCCCCTTTCAAAGCAATCTCCATGTCATTTAGCATTTGGAGCTCACTTCTTTCTGTGGGTTCAACTTCCTCAACTGGGTATTTAGTTGCCCCGCCAGCTCTCTCACCTCTTTGGAGACACCAATTACATCCAAAATACCCATTAAATTGGGTTACACCTTGCATCGGTGCCCTAGCAACAGAATCTACACTTGAACAGATACAATAGACCTTATATTTTTCAACCCTTCCTTGACGTTGTAATTCAACGCCATTCTCACACAGCTCGTTCATTTTCTCAACAAAAGTACCTTGGAAAAGTGCCATGTTTGGCTTTTCTTTCCAGAACCACAATGCGGCCAGGACCAATTTGGACATTCTTTGCTGTGGAGGGAGCTCATTAACAATTAGCTGGATGGGCCAAATTGATGTCCCACTTGATTTGAAAAGCGGGGTCCCATCTGCATTCAACGAGAAACTGATTCTTGGTCCACAGTGTTGAGATTCGGCTACAAAAGTACGATACATTGTACCATCCCAGATGTCTGAAAATGTCCCATTCGTCGGAAGGGGCTTTGTTAAATCAAGAAGATCACAGTCCTTAAGTAGCCTTTGAAGTTGCGACTCCACATCGAGAGTGACAAAAAAGGGGGCATCCGAAAGGGAAGACACAAAAGTTGTGTGACTGCACTTCGAGCATTTCAAGTAAGAATTTGTCTCAAGACTGCCAATATGCGAAAAGCATCTCGGACAAAAAAAGAAAAAAGTCATAGTGGTGCCAGTTTCGCTAAAAAGTTTATGTAGGTGATACTGTGAGTGAGGTAATATAGGTTTATCAAAAATTCTGTTAATTAAATCTATTAAGCTAGTTAAACCCAAAAGAGTCAAATTATTCTTCACAGCATGCTTTAGTGCCATTAGGAGAATATCTCCCTTCGAAAGAACCACTTTCTCAGTGACAAGTTGTGTAAAAAGGTCTCCAAAGCGTGCCTTGCAAGATGGATCAGGCTCTGTCACTGGATCTGCAGCAGGCTGCTGAAAGTAAAAAAAAAAAAAGCTTTCGTCAATGAAGCTATCACAGAATTCAGTTATAGTGAACCGTGATAAGCCCAATGAATATGAGCAAACAACTCTGTTATTGATCAGTACAAAATATCATGCCTGCTAGGCTGATAACTTTTTACAGACCAACTGGTGAGATATTCTTTAAAATGAAAGAGCCAGTGATCTTGAAATGAATCATTCACCAAATCACCGCTACGTGTCCCTCTTAACAGTGCCCAATTTACACAGACATTTTCCAGTACATAAAAGAGCCTGTGAAAGTAGTGCCCTTAAAACCTGACCATAAATCTAGTTATTTCCAGTGAAAACAAACACACCATGTCATCATCTAATGTGAGAAAATCTCCAGGGAAACCTTGCTGTGAAGCATGGTCACTTGAAAAAGCTTCCTGTGAAGAAAAAAAAAAAGAAGCATTTAGTGCCACAGTAACCCAATCTGCCTATTCTAGTTAGCTGTGCTAGTTCACTCATAGCACGTAAATTACATGACAACAGACAGTGTTAAGAACATGGTCTGAAAACCTGTTGCAGGTTGTTCCCAGAGTTTATTGTCCCAAGTGATAACTCGTCTTGAACTGATTATGCAAGAGAAAACCACAGTGCCAATGCACTTGCTCAAGGCTATTCTAGTGGATGTGAATCTTCCAGCTGCACATATTTGTAGAGTGCAACTAGTGTGTAAAAGTTACCTCTTCATCCTTATCAAACAGTGACGAATCATCTGCGTCAGAAAGGCTTGCAATGCCGTCTTGAAGTGGAGAGTCCTAAAAAAAACCAACCAAAATTTATAATTTCCCATCGTAATACATAAGCATAAAATAGCATGTGTATGCTTACTAATTAACTGATAAGCCTTAGTAAAATAACTTCATCTGCTGGGGCGTGAGGCTCGCGTGCAGGAAATTTCTGTGACGGATCAGCGCTGTTCCTCTGCTCTTGTGCTTCAGGGGCTGCAGCAGGAGCTTCCATAGCACTGCCAGCTGACGAGCCTAACCGGCCTCCACTTGACGTTACCTGTGATAGAACAAGTGCGCCGATATAGTAAACGGTTTATCGTATAGAAACAATAGTTCTCGTAGCATTCTACTACCAGCTCAATTTACCGGCTCATGATCGGACTCGGGGAAATCTTCTTCACTTTCCGGACGTTCGGAGCCCGGACTAGCTATGTGACTATTCCGGCTCTTCAGTGATGTTGTTCGACTTGGTGGATCTGCCCTTTCAGTGTCGCTGTCTGCCTCATCACTCGAAGAAGGCATGCTAGGGCTGGCACCCTAGAAGAAAATAATGAGATTTGGACTTAAATTGCTGCGCTAAATTAATGAAAAAGAAAATGCACTGATAAAAAATAGCAATTTAACACGGCCGAGCACATTCGATCATTCGCGGGCAGAACTATAAAGGGTGGTAAAAAGGAAGACCGTAAAACACGGCGCAACGATCGAAGTCGTTGAGCAACATGCAGATTAATGTTGTGGACAACCGCTGATCTGATACCAGCAGGGCCCGGATCAAGCTAAAACCCCGATCGAAAGTGCCCATCCATGTTGAAAATGATCAGAACTTACGGTCGGCGGGCAAGCGCGTGCGGTGCTCCTTGGTAGCTGGAACTGAGACTTGGGATTTAAATAAGTCTTGTAGGGTCCTCTCTTTCTTTTCTTCGGACCGCGCTCCATCGCGAGGTCTTGAAGCAACAAGACGGCTTATTTCACTCCGGGACACGAAGTACAGAAACGGCGATGTAAGCGATAGGACAATGTGCACCGGCTGCCTGCGGCCACAGCGGCTGCCATATTGCATAGACACCCTGCAGCCAGCAGTCTGCATGTGAATTGATTGAAACAGCGTAGCGTTAAACAAACATTATAAAAGTAAAAAATACTTTTAAAATTATTCTGATTTTTTGTTTACTTATAATGAAGAATAACATTTTCATTGACAAACTATCAGATCCGCAGCTGCGGTCGACCCTTGTTGCTTGCTGTGTGCGACCAGCGTTTGACCAGCTGTAGCGCACGTGTGTAGATGTTTTCTTCAGCATTGCAAGATGATTACCCACGTTCGAGTCCGGTACGAAGATGATAAAAAAATTGGAACGGTGCCAATAGAAGACGTTAAAGATTTCTTCCCCCGTCACCAGCAAGACTTCAAGTCCAAATCCCTCTATTTAGTCAAATGGACGGACGACAGTGGAGACAGCGATTACTATAGGGCCCGGATTCTGGCACTGGGAGGTAAGCCTGCTTTTGTTTGATATGTTGCCGGCGAAATGCATTCTCTTTGGCCTGGCTGACTGCTAAGCACTGTTCACCGTTAGTAACTACAAAGTATTTTATCGATAATCTCCACTAGCATAGTTCATTTTGTTAATTTACCGCGTGCAATCGCAAATAAGTATGGTGTCATTATTAATTTATGCATATACCTGAAAACTCTACGGAGATGACGCTGGTATTACCTGGCCGCAGAGAGATACCAACAGCGTCGGGTATATCAGCCTGGAGTATATAAGGCCCTTTTGCGGTAGGACGCGCCTTTGTTTGTGGCACTGCAGCTTTTATACCTAATGACAAGGTCTATACGCTACTATTTCGCTCGCGGCATATGACGTTGTGTTACAACGGTACTTAAGCATTCACACGAGGTTCGATGGTTAATTTACAATGCAATAAAACTAATAAAAGTGCATGCTAGAGATCGTGAAATGTGCACGCGTCAGAGGATGATGTGACACTAACTCAGTAAATGTTAATGTTGCAATCCGCCCTCACGTTTTCCAGAATCGGAGGACTTCGCGGAGACAGAGGCCAGAGAGAGAACGCGTATTCCGAAGAGGGTTTATTCGCCGGCGTCTTCGGACTACGAGAATGAAGCGGAGGTAAATTATTATCTAAACCTCCTACAAAAGGTCCTGTCAACACTTGTGTAAACAGTGTGTAACAAGTTATTTTCTATTTTCGCCCAGAGCCCTATCAAAGAAAAAACGAAAAACAAAACAACAAGTGGTGCAGAGGCACGCCTGCTTCAGCTTTTAAAAAGCAAGAAAGAAAATATGAAGAGGCAGGCGAAAAATCAAGATGGGCCACATTCTAAAAAGCACCACAAAGAAGCAATGGACAGTGGGCGCCTTCAGGGGGCTCATGAAACCATTGATAACCTTGAAGAGCAGGTAGAGAAAAAATCTACCATCATTCGCCAACTGCGAAAACAAAATGAAGAAAAAGACAGGGAGATGGCTCAACTCAGAAGACTGAACATGGAGCTTCAGGACAAGGTTATTTCTGCACTGGAAGACATGAAAGGTATGAAGCAGAAAATGTCTTCATTGTACTGATTTTGTGCTGTGAAAGCATTAATGCCATTCTTCTGACATTTAGCAGTGTGTACAGCTTGTTACCATAAAACGTTCGGCAGTCTTTAAGTGAAGATATTTCGAGTTTAGACTGCAAATGGCTATTGTTTACAGCTGTTTGATGAAATTTAATGAAAATATTTTGTCAGCTCTTTTTCCTCTCTGGGCAATGCAAACAGCACGGCACCTCATGTATAAATGCAGGCTGCAGAATTATGAAAAGGATCATGGATGGCAGCCAGTCGAGCCCCTCCGTGTCTGAGGATCTACAAGACACCTTGACAGAGCGAGCCCTTCGCCCAGGTTCATCCAATCCGCAACCGAATGACAGTGAAACAATGGTATTCTATCTGGAATGTCAATAATGTGCAGCTGTCCAAATTACAAACAACTGTTCTTTTGAAAGCATGTTAAAATAATATAAAGCAAGATTGAGCATTATAGATTACTTGTCATAGAAGTTTGTCTCTGCACAGCTGAGCAAGACATTCCAAAAAGAGTTCAGTGATCATTATAGATATGTGTAAATTTTAAGCAGAACTTATGAACAACCAAAAAAAATGAATTTCGTTGTCAGCAACACAACTTACTAAAACAACTTCACTAACGTACTTGTTGGACAGAAATATTAAGGAATACACTTGGCCTTGTCTGCTGCTGTTTTAGCCATCTCGTGCTGCGCGGATTCAGCACAACCTCACTGAGAAGGTGCAGGCACTTTGTAAACTGGTCTTGCACAAAGGCTGCACTTTCTCTCAATGAATACTGTGGTGCTGACACCACCATGTGCAGTTCATAGAAAGAATGCTAGAGTGCAGCACCACAAAACTGGCTGACAAAGTGCTGGTGAAATGAATAGACCTTTGTTGTTTATGATATGCAATACAGGTTGCACTGCACATGGATGCCTTCAGAATGCATATGTTCCGTGCAGGTGGACATTGGACGAGGGCTTATGGTCAAGAAAGGTGCATGGGAACATGTGCAGTCCCATCATAAGGATTCCTTATTTGTCAAGGACCTGCTAGTCACCATCTGGTCGAAAGACAACCTTAAGGAGCGCTCCCTGCATGGTTGGTTATAATACAAAAGCATAGTGTGTGTCAGTTGGTAACGGGGGAATTCGTTGTTGTGGATATCTGTTATGCAGGAAAACATTGTCCACGGTACCCTAACCGTCCACGCAAGGCTCCCCTAACACCGTGGAAGTTGGACGTAATGCGTGGTAAGTGTGCAGACAGTCTCTTGGAATGCATATTGAACCAATCTTATTCTTAGTACATGAAATCACAGCAAAGCTCGGTTGCAATTGAGTCTATTTTGAAGCCACTACAAACTTTACTGTCTGCTTTGACTTCAGTTATGAACACAATTTTACATAAACTATGTAGTTGTAAAAATGTGACCCAACACCTTGCCTCTTACTTACTATTAAATTCATTTGTTTTAGTCAGGAGTGCAGGCAGGTGAAAGTCTTAAGTCTCTTAAATGCACTGGTAGTTCAAAAAGATAGTCGAAAAAAAGAAAAGCCAACAATAGAGCTAGTGTGTAGACTGCCAGCATTTTTTTCATCATAACTTATATCTCTTTCATAAAAAATGACAAAAAAAGAAATAGTGTTCTCTGCTTTCTTCCTGCACTATATAAATCCACACAGTTACATGGTGCGAGTGGAGAGCTGTGAAATGTTACTTTTTTAGATTATTTTTGTGCATGTGCACGCTAAGTTCGCAGTTTCCTTTTTCTAATAAATGCTGGAACGGAACACTTTTGCTAACTGGAGAATGCTTTCTGTATTGTTCAAGCCTGTGCTGCTAAGGCATATTCTAGGCCATTCAGCATATAACACTTCATTGCATCAAGAAATATGACTAAAAGTTCAATTTTGAACTTTTGTGTTCTTAAAGTAATATCGATGCTATTAGTTCTTTAAGCAGCTGGTTTCTTCAAGGCTATTTATTGATAATTTTTGTTGTTTCAGACTGCTACAGAGCACGTCTGGAGCATCAAGGCGTGCCTGCAGGAGTACTGCCGTTGGCAGTCAAACAGATGAACCACTTCATTGTTGAGAAGCTTTCAGATATTGAGAAGCTTGCCAAGCGGTAAGATAAGTGTGTTCTTTGTGTCAAAGGACTCCCCCCCCCCCTTTTTTTAAGAGAAACTTGGCCATATTCATCTGCTTGCAACATGCATGTACAGAAAGAGACTGAGAAAATTTGGAGGCTCGTCTGGCATTTTGGCGCAGCGTGGCGCAATATGGTTTTGGCAGCTCGGCGCAAAAGCGGGGAATTGTATCAAATTCGCGTAATTGGCACAGCTGTTGTACCCCTTCAACATGCATAGCTATTTTTATGTTAATGTTTTTATGTTAAATCACATCTAGACTTGGAAGAATGTAAGCCATTGTGTGGCTGACTAAATGTATAAATTCTGCAAAACATTTGCAGGGCGAAGGACAACCAGGGCGTTGCGGAAGTTTAACAGAGGAGGACCATTGGTGCATTTTCTAAATAGTGTAAATATTATGGAATGTGTGAATAAATTTTCATTCTTTCATATTTTTTTTTTTCTCTACCATTGTTTTTATCTTGTATGTGCATGCATTTGAGTGTGCATTAATGTCACATTCACACTAGGTAATCCAGCCTGTGCTGTTTCCACTGTGTTGTGAAATTGCAATTAATGAAGTGCAGTGTGATGACAGCCAGCCTTCTACAGGATTGTCATTTTCTACTTGCATCCGCAGAAATGTGATAATCATGTTTATAGGTCAGCCAAGAGACTGCAATTACTACACTACTACTTAGCTTCAGTTGGCTCTCTCTGTATACCAACCACTGGCTGGCTGAAATGCAGTTAGCAATTTAGCGTCAACCAAGTGCTTACCAGAAACTAATGGCCAGCCATATTAAATTGGCTTACCAGGTAGAATGGTGACTGGCTAAACACCAGCTTTTGTCACTGGGCCAATCATCTGGATACATGCAGTGCAGCTTGGTCGAAGACCAGAGAGTCACAACGCAGACGAGCGCTTGTCTGTGTTCTTTGTCTAAGTTCGCGCTGCATGTATCCAAGTATGTATCAACTAGCCCAACTCAACCTTTTATTGAAACATATGGAATCATTGGAGTCTCAATTACCATCAAAGTGCTGACCATTTGCAACAATGTGGGAAGTCATGTGGTTACCAGCCACATTGAATTTGCTTACCAACTAGAATGAATTGGGGGCTGTTTGGAATGCCAGTTACGATCAGTGGGCCAAACATCTGGAACCACAGGATTACCAGTTAGCTTCAACGGGTTAGTCTACTGAGACCTGCCGGGCAACCACGTGCCTACCATTAATTTTCAATGGGTTGACCATTTCAGGTCAACGGGTTTTCTATTCACCACCAGTTGGCTTCAACAGGTCAGCCTATTCACACCAAGTGGACAACCACCAGTATACCATTTAGTATAAATGGGTTGACCATTTTAGGTCAATGGGGTTTCCTATTGACCACCAGTTAGCTTCAACAGGTCAGCCAATTCACACCAGGTGGACAACCACCTGCATACCATTTAGTATTAATGGGTTGACCATTTGAGGTCAATGGGGTTTCCAATTGACCACCAGTTAGCTTCAACAGGTCAGCCAATTCACACCAGGTGGACAACCACCTGCGTACCATTTAGTCTTAATGGGTTGACCATTTGAAATCAACGGGATATTTAATTGACCACCAGTTAGATTCAACGGGTTAGCCAATTCACACCAATTGGACAACCACCAGCGTACCATTTCGTTTTCATGGGCTGGCCATGTGAGGCCAAAGGGGCTACCAGTTTGTCACCAACCAATTTCAAATGGTGCGCACCATTGCAACTAACTGGCAATTGCTCAGCACCAGCCACACTTAACTGGTAGCCAATGGGGTCCCCTGTTGAACCAGTTGCATTGAAGTGGTGAGCCACTTGGATCCCCCTTTGGAATATAAGGGTTTACCCATTGATTCGAACGGGATAATGTTCAATGGGTGGCGAAAATCCTACTGGTCCAACACCCATTGATTTTAAATGGAAATTTTCCAGTTGGACCCATTGAATATTTTTGACTGGGTTCCTGTTATTGTTCTGAGTAGCCTTGAGGAAGAACCATGGCAACTTTGATTATGAAGCTTCTGATCGCGGTGCGCGCCGTGAAACAGTAGACAGGTGACACGAGCGATAAACATTGCACACGCCACGACTACTGATGAACTGAAGTTGTCGCCACCACACAGTATTACACATGTATGGCTTTGAAGGCTCTAAGTTCCAGCTTTAACGAGGAAACAAGAACATGTACGTTATACAGGTAAATTGCAAAATGATCACGACCACAATCAGGTTTTTCTTGCCTTTGGTATGCGTAATTGCCAGGGCTATCTCAAAGGCCTTGGTTTTGTACCTTTCATTGTTCACACCCGCATGTATCCCCATTTGTGCTATATACAAACGCTAGACAACTGTCAACAGAACATTCTAGCAACAGTTCAATCCACAGGAAGTGAGATATCGATAGAGAATGAAACTGCAAAGACGAAAATCGTCAGGGACATTTGTGCTGGATAAAGCGAGCTTTGTACCACTGATAGTAAGATACATTGCTCGTGTATGTACTTCATCGCTTTGGCATCTTGTGTGTGCCCAAGTTTAACGCACTTAGGCGTTAAAGATCGCATGACGGTCGGAGTGCTTGCCTCAAACTCGATATCATGCGATGCTCGCTTGCACTTGAAGCACACCAAAATAACTGAAACATCTTTAAAGTTGTACCAGCAGGCGCTTTGATGAGCTTCCTACTTTTCTAAAGTGAGGTTGGATTTATGGAAAAAGCTTGCCAGGTCCTTGATTTTCAAAAACCACACCTCAAGACTAACGAAACAGGAGGGCATATATGCATGTTCACTTGCAGACGGCTCTCTTTGCACTACTCATTTAAGGCTGGCACGGCGATTGGGGCGCTGATGGCAGCGTTTTTCACAGCGCCACCTGGGCAGAGTCCGACGTTTCGAAGTATTCTGTAACCTGTTCAGAATGCCTTGCCATTATTCGTCGGTCTTTTTTTTTTCCCGAAAAGCATGTTTATTATGTTTATGTACCACTCTGCTATAGTGGAAGTTACATCATAGCAGTACTATAAATAAATAAATAAATAAATAAAAGCATTTATTGCACATTTTCACGAAACTTAATAACCATCTCATTTTTCACTGCATTAGCACAGAGATGTATTCTGAAATCCAAAATGCCATATCTGATGGAAGCCTTCCCCCGTAGTCATTAAGTTTATAACGTACCCCAGTATAATAAAGAACATTGTTGAAAAGTCAGAATTTAGTGAAGGATGTTTGTGAAGGCAGTCTAAAATGAAATATTGACACACCAAAAGGACAAAAATGGTCGCCCTGAGGTGTACTCAGCACAAAGAATGACACGCATTCCATTGAAAAGGCCCAGCACAGGTGTTGGACCTGGGGTGTGCTAGTGATGCATCAAATATTCATCGCATAACACATCTTATTCATAAAAGCTAACCATTGATAAGCACTGACAATGAAAGTTGGTACGTATTAAATTTCAATATGCAAAGCTAATGCAAAGTTAAGGTAATTGAACACTGGCAGCTGTGATGTGTTTTTGAACATAAAAGTGTGGCATAACCTCTTTTGCTCTTTGGAAAGTGTTGCTGGATGACTACAGGGCTTCTGAAATCCATGAAGACCCCCTTGACGTGGAGAAGTACGTTCTGAACGTTCTGTACTTATTCCCCTACGAAAATCCTTTAATTTTGAAGTGATCCAAAGTAGTTTCTATGGCAGATCGGTGTGAACCCGGCATACTCTCAATTTCATTTACACTCAAATGTATAACATCTGGGGATTACAGTGTATTTTGACACATAAGAGTTGCGGCATTTCATGGCTGTTTTTACTATTTATATGCTCCATCACTCTGTATGTCTATGTTGCTTTGGGGCATGCCAAAGCAAATTATCATTGTACAGTGCCAATAAGGCTCGTGCTTCTGTATTTCGATACGTGCAACTAGCCCAATTTGCCTCACGGTGATATGTAATTCACTTTTTATTTGATTTAATTCTCAACAGTACATATAAAACCACCACATTTTTGTCGCATTAATGTTTAGAGTGACATTGTAAGCGCTTGAAAACTGTTTAGAGAAACACTATTGCAAGAACTTTTCAATGAAATTTCACTTGTGGGGGCACCTTGGGCTTCACTTGTGGGGGCATATCGAAAGTGGAATTTGTATCACATGCATATTAAGATATATGAGACTCCCAAGGGGTATCACTACCGTGCTGTTTAGAGAACATCTCTACAAACCTGTGTTCAATACATCTTAGTTCACCTGTATGCGAACTTGAAGCCTTTGCAAATGCGTGTGAAGTCCAAGAACTCCTTGGTCAGAAAGAGGTACTACCATTGTGTGGGACTGGTTTTTCTGGTTGGTTTACATTGTTCTTCTTGGGTCTCATCCAATTGTTCATTTGACTTTACCACCGGCTGTCTCCTGCTTTTCTTGCGGGAGCCAAGAGCTTCTGCACCGTCTTTTTGTCGCCAAGCAAGTGGTGCGTGAAGGTGAAGTCCATTTGACTCGTGCCAAAGAGTAAAGTGGAGAAACTCTTAAACACCACTCAATCACAAGAATGTCCCATTGTTGAAAAGTGTTGTAGTAGTAAAGATCTGCTACGTGAGATACTGTTATTGCTTCGAAAATCCAGGAATACCTCCTATTCTCTGAAAGCTGTACCAATCACCCTGGAACGTCACCACTTGTTGCATTATACTTTCGGTGCCATTTGCGAGTCTATAGAGTCCTCCAAACATGTGTTGCTGCTTTGCACAGTATCATGTCTGATATTTCTTGCAAACTTAAATAAATTATCTTGCTTTGTGGCTGCTCCACAAAAATTTTGCAGAAATAAATGTTTATCAGGCCAAAAGTGGGAGACAAACAGCACCATTGCTTATTGCCTGATCCCGAATATCAAGGTCCACTGTGGCTTTTGAATATTGAATCTGTGATTTGGTGATGTTTGTGGTCCAATGCAAATACAGGAGGTGACATGCTTGGACATGTACAATTATAAACAGTCATGTGTTAATTATACAATCACCAGCCTTCGTAGCTTTGCAGAGCACATATTACTTGATCATAACCAGTGTAGGCTGAGAGAAATGTAAGTGTTGTCTATTTTTGATAATTCACAGTGCAAGAAGGACACAGACGAAGTATAGGACAACCTGAGCGCTTCGTCCGTGACCTTCTTGCGCTGTGAGTTATCGAAAATTAACTATCACCAACTAGCCCATATTTTCCTTTTTGTTCTTGTAAGTGCTGTAAGCATTAAACAACTCAGCCCCCAAGGAGAACGTGCGAGCTAATTTCGCAAAGTGAACTGATCCACTTGCCTTGCTCGGACTCTGGAAGCTGTTCTGCTGTGACGGTGTCCAGCTTGGCCTGCGTAAGTGCGATCATCAATGTCTCATTTCAGCTTTTGGTTTATGTTCAGCCGAGGACACAAGCATGACCATAATTAGTCAAGTGTCAATATATTGTTAGTAAATGTAGCGCAACTTGGAAATCTCTTGAAATACTCACATAGCTGCACATTTTTCTACTAAAAAAACAAATGCACAGCGTTCACTGCCAACTGTTTATTGTGCATCACTAATATGTGCAAAACAAATGATCGACAACAGTGTGCATAAGCAAAGATTCAACAAGTGATGCAAGAACCAGCCACCCCTCTCAACAAAGTAACAAATAAAGAAAGGGAAACACAAATAAACCAGCTAGGAGCGCTAATACCTTGCCTCGAAAAAAGATATTTCCTCTTGATACAACACCATGGACAGCTCGCTAAGACAACAATCCTTATTTTTTTCTATATACTTGTATGCTCCCAATGACAGACGTGCAAATGATTTCACGCTCCTTTTGAGAATGTGTGTGTCTGTAAATCTTGCTATACAGACAGGCAGGTTCCCAGAAGGAGCGTGAAATCACCTGTATTTCTCTTATTGGAAGCACGTTTCATAGAAAAAAAAAAAAGAATCGTGTTTGCAAGCTGTACGGCCATAACCACGTCTGTGTAGAGCACGCAAGCAGCTAGTTTTTGCTCCATGGCACGAAACCTTGAGGCAGAATCGGGCTCTGATGTGGCCAGCCTCACAACTAGGACACAAATGCTCCTAGCACACCACTTCAGAGCCCGAAACTGTAACAAGGTTTTGCGTCGCGGAGCAAAAACTGGCTGCTCGTGTGCTCTACACAAACGTGGCCGCCGCTGTACACGGTATTGTATCGAAAGAAAATATATTTTCTCAAGTCAAGGTGTTAGTGCTCCTAACTGGTCCATCTGTGCTTCCTTTTTTTATTTGTTACTTTGTTGCATTGGGTAGCTGCTTTTTGCATCACTTGTTTAGCACATGCTCATTATTGTTGATTATTGCTTTTGCACATAATCCTGTATATAAGATGGTCAGTCAGGCACAATGAACAGCTGGTAGCTGGGTGGTTTTTGAGTGGAAGCGAGTGTGAATGTGTGAGTGTTTCGAGGGAGTTGCACTAAATTTGCACAATATGATGAGTGACCAAGTAGCCTAGCAAGTTTTAATGAATGCCAATATAATGAACATAGATAACAACTTATATGTGGTAGTATACAAACCAAAGAAAACCTCACTTCATTGATACTAGCATTTAATAAATACATGCTTACAACAATTACACAATATGATGAACCCGTCCTTTTTTTTTGTAGCATGCTATGTTACAAGTTTGGTTGTACTTTGGTTGCTTAACATGCTGAAGAAAATCACTGCAAAACATTCTTTTATCTGTACTTTCATGCCAAAGTCTTGGTGTCAGTACGTGAGCATTAGAACATGTGCAAAATAATATAATTCCTATGCATGCACCCTTGGCCTCAACTGAATCCAAAGATGAAACATGACAGGGGCATGTACTAAATTCAGTTTGTTTCTGAAAACCTTTTACTCACTAGGACTGGTTCATTTGCAGACTCGGTAATCACAAACTCGTCATCTTTGTCATCTTCATTCTTGTCTTCACTTGTGTCCAGAATTACGTTTTCAACTGGCTTAGCAGTCGGAGCCCTATGACATGAGCAGGTTATTATAATTGTTTAATGGAAGCAACCACTGTAGGAAAAAATTGGGTTGTAGAGTGCTGGAAGATGACTACTGGCAAGTAGATTGAAGCTAAGTTGTGTTATACTATGTCTATGACCTCATCCGCACTCTTTAGGTAAAACTGATGCTTGGCTGAATTGGTTTCTATTTAAGAATGGTAAAACAGTAAAAAAAAAGAAAACAGATGCAACCCGTAGAAAGACACACAAATACTGCACTGTCTTTAACTTATTTTTGGAGCTCTTACCAGCAGTTCTGACATCAAGTTAGGCTTCCAGACAAACTTCACTATAGACTGGCAGATATTTAAAAATTGAGCCCCAGTTCATTAACTTCTGAGCTCTAAAAAAAACAGCCGTTGCAGTTTTCTAAATTGCTTCTTTTTTTTAATTTTGTGCATTAATGCATCACTAAGACACATCTGTTTACACTGTATAAATGTATCTGAATTTTTAATTTAAAAGTCTCAAATCACAATGCAATAATATATACATGCGGTATGTAAATGAAAAGGTACGAAATGAAACTATGGGTGTAAATGAAGATTTCATTCAAAGTATAGACTGTATGTTTAATCGCAATGATCTCATTGATGAACGGGCCAAGATATTTTTTGTTCCCAGAATGCCTGTAGCCATGACGAAACCCAGTCCTACACAGCGTCTTTGAGTCCGTGATCTCGGTTAAAGCGCATCCCTTTCAGATATTTTTTTGAAGGGGACTGAACACATGGAAATCGTAAGCATTCAATAGTGGCTTGTTCGACACCCTCCACTGTCACAAATCACATAACGCCTCAGATGTTGAATTTGGCTACGTAAATGCCATCCTGTCCTCTCACATGCTGTTGTGCGAATTGAATGGCAGTCCTAATGAGAGCTTTTGCTGTGCATGCAGACACCCGCGATCCTGTCCTCAGATATATCGCTACGTTCTGCCATAGCGGAATCTATGTTAACGATAATGTTGTTATGATGTTTCGTACCTTTTCATTTGAACACCCATTGTAAAGCCATACATGAAGCTCATATTTGTAGAGCCAAAAAAGCTTGAAGAGCAGCTAATCAGCTTTTCCCTTTTAGGACATATCGAATCATGTGGCTGACGTTATTTTGCAGTCTGAATTGAATAAACTGTTAACTTGATGCTGAACTACTTTTTTCTCAATTTTTCTTAATACCTATTTAAAGAAAGATGAGTTAAATACTTATAGGATAATTAATAAAACGTGTCTCAGAAATTGGTAGATCCTAGTTTTCTTTTTCGAATCCAATAAACTCATTCTCTGAAATTAAGTCAGTTTAGTTCATATCAAACACAAAGGAGTTCCTTCTTCGTCAATAAAATGCAATTCAGAAGGTTGATAATATTGCAATTAAAATTTGTTTTGCTTCTTTGTTTGATGCCTTAGTTGTTTGCTTGAGTGATATGCAAGCAAGTGTATTTAAGTAGCCTAAAACATTTGCCTCTTCAGTGAATAATTTCATTGAACAACCATTGAGTCACTGAATCACAATCACTATAGAATCACTGAGAAATCAGTGATTCATTTTTCTTCAGTGATTGTTACAAGATTGAGTGGCAATATTATTCAGTGGCCCAAGAACCACCACTATGGAAATTTATGAAGGTGTCATCACTGTGATGGGCACAGCCTATGACATTGACAACAAGAGTTTCCTCACAGTCCTAGCTTGGCTCTGACAATAGTGAACTTAGTGCACTTGTTAGTCTGCATCCATTTAGTTTGTGCCTAGGAGTAGCCACTATTATCAATAGCCAACACATATCTGTTTGCAGGGTACTTAGACTGCCCGAGGAGCACTTAAGCAGATAAAACAAGAGTTGAAATCATGTCTTAATTTTACAGCCTGTCCTGACAGGTATATTTTTATACAAGAAAGAGACTAATAATAAGACAAAAAAAAAAGGTCATTGATGGAGGAGGTAGTCCCACCTCATGGCCGCTGGCATGCTATCAGCAGAGTTCTCCCTCTTTCGTATTCTTGGTGCAGCTGGTCGGGAACTTCGAGGGCGTGATGACCTCAGTGTTGACCTAGTGAAATTTATGTAGAAAAAATTAAAATGAAACTGGAATCAACTTTCCAATTTACTACAACTACAGTGAATTGCAGAAGGGATTTTTTTATGGCCATGCTTAGATTGCCTATGTATGCTCGACTGTGGCGCAAAGCACATTTTGTCAAAAGAGACAAAAGCAGAGCAGTGAAGCGGCAACTGCTGACTGCTATTTACATAACGGCATCTCCATGGAAACGTGCAGGAAAAAAGAAAGACATCTTTGTGCGTTCCGAAACTGGGCAAGTGAAACGTTGCATTAGTTACAGACTGAGGAATCGTGCTAGTAGCATAAGTAAGAGGGATAATGAGCATCTTTTCGCACATTGTGAATCCTGATGTTGTGCACCATGGTTTATGCATGTGCTGATTCCGAGAAAACGAAGAAACAAATTGCTAGAGAAATGTTGAATGCCTTTGTTGTTTGACAAAGCCTAGGGTCTAATTTTGTCAGCGACACAGCTATAACTTAGCATTGTTAAAAAAGATGCACCTTCCTGATAACATGCTATGTTGACCATGTCATTCTATGTGACACCTTAGCTCTTTATGCCAGCCCAGAAGGTGTCCATATTTTTTCCTATGCATTTCTGGCAGTGTGATCACACTATTGTCATGAGGTCGTGATGTGGATGAAGGGAGCAGACGGTATGTCTAAGATGAAACTTCTTATTTGGCCAAACTAGTAGCCGTTAAATGCAAAGTCAGATTACAGAGATATACAATGGCGCTGATAGTGGCGAATTGAGCATTGGTCGTTGATCAACTGATCCACGGCAAGACACTTCGACACATGCAGCGTCACACATTTGAGCATTATCACTAGTGGCCGCGTTTCTTCTGCAATCAACTCAGCTTTTTGCGCTCAAGCCTATGAATTGATGTCAAGATATTCTCAAATAGTCTCAGACATTCTGGCGTGATTTGCACAAGGCACCAGTATCTACACGGCCTGCATCACGAAACATAAAAAGAAAGTGGCAATTTGGGCTTCACTTTCTTCTCTTTTCTATTCTATCTTCCTTTCCACGAAACCTACTAGGAAGCATCCACAAAACAAGAAACCTATGAAGATAAGCATGGTACACTCCATTGCAATTGTAAGCCAATTTTCACTTCATGAAAAAAATTCCTCTATCGGTAATGAATTGCTTACCGAGACAATGGCCTCTCGACATCTGGCACAGTCTTGCTTCCAGGCTCAGGAAGTTCCAATGAGTGATCCACCTGTGGAGCCATTTCATGGCTGCTGCTATTTACTGGAGATGAAAAAATTAGATCTCAGGCCTTCTGCCAGGAGCTTATTAATCTCTGATATAGGTAGCCTGTGTAATTTTGTACCTGAGAGGTACAAAATACGATACATATACAGCTTCTCCAAAACTACAAATTTGTAATTCTCGAACATACTTTGAATAAATAATAAAAATCAGTTTGTCTCACATGTAGGTGGCTTATCCTGATGTCCTTCACCACTGCTTTCCGGAATTTGCTCCTTGTGAGATGACCGCTTTGTACTACGTGGGCGTTTCACTTCATCATCTTGAATATTGTGCTGTAGATTATTGAGGAAACGGTCTACTAATTAGAGATGATAAAACGTCTTTCTTTTTTTAAAATTGACCGAAGTTGATAGTGTAGAAGCACTAAGAGGCGGTAGCATCAGATGCACAGAAAGCTTTGGCAGGAGATTCCAATATAGTCATCACGCCTTGTTAAAATGTACTCTAGCATCACACTTGTTAAACCAAAGTTAAAAGAATGTGTGTCAATTATTTCTACTGCTTTTCTAGCTGACTCATGAAAAAAGACTAGTATCGAAGCAGAGATGCACAACACAATGACGGCACAGCCTATGGGCACTCTAACACTAAACAATCTGCATAATCAATTGATCCAAGTTACATCTCTACTTTTCTCCTCATTTCTCAGTTTGTTGAGATAATTCATAATTATCAGAATGCACATACAAAACATCCCTTTTGGCAATTCATTTCTTTAGCAAACATATAAAGCAAAATCCAACTTTAATATTAATAATTGTTATGGTTTAACGTCCCAAAACCACCATATGAGAGATGACGTAGTAGAGGAATCCGGAAATTTCAACCACCTGGGTTTTTCTGACGTGCACCTAAATCTAGGCAAATGGGCCTCAAGCATTTTTGCTTCCATCAGAAATGCAGATACGGTGACCTGTGCGTCAGCAGCGAAGTGCGTTAGCCACTAGCTCACCATAGGGGGTCAGATCCAACTTTTAAATGATATTGTTAAACGATATTATTGAGTGGCAGTTCTATACACGTATCAATATTATTGGCAAAGCTGATATATGATGCTTTTTTTTTTTCGGAGTAAATTTGCTACATGTTTTCTTTTAAATATAACATTATTTATTTACAATACTGGAGCTTACAATACAATCGAACTTGCTTTAGTATGAGTACAAAATGCTTTATAATTTCTACTGGTTATGTTTTTATTTATGCATACATAAATAAATAAATCATGACGATGCTGGTAAAACTGTTGTTTCAACACGTACATTATCCCTTGCACTATAATCAGTAGACTCTCAGTAAACAGAACCTGAAGGGACCAGAAAATTATGTTCTATTCAGCAGGAGCTCCGTTTACTGAGAGATGAAGCTTGAGACCAAGAATTTTAGAGGCAATAGTTTCGTTTAAGCAGTAGTTCGGTTGAGCAAATTTTCGTTTACTGAGAGTCTACTGTATTATGCAGTTTTGTCTTGTATAATGACATTGGTAATACAGTATTTGAATACGAGCAAGTTGGTTCATATCAATAAAGTAAACAGTTGGCATCAAAACACAGACAAGAATACACGAGATTAGTGCTGTTATGACCTGTGCTACATCATTGTGTCCTTTTTCTTTCATCATCTTGCGGCTGTAACATTACAATAAAATTAATAAGAAAAAAACATTTAAGTTCTGGTTGAAGTATCAGGCAAAGATACACATCCGATAATCACCATGTTCGTTGCACACGTCGATATTTGCAAAAAAGAAGTTAAGATTTTCTTTAAGACAAAATGTGCATAAATCTTTATGTATGGAGATGCCTGCAGTGAAATACATTTGCAGAAATAATTGATGTAGTTTAAGCATCAACTCACATTGACTGCATGTGCGTCAGTCTTGTCTACCTTCGCAACAAATTGATCCTGAAATTTGCACATGGAGAGGGGGAACTCTTTATTGCCGACACTTTGTCCATTGTCATGTAGCTCACCTGTTCAAGCTTAGACGTTTCATTGGGCATTGCTGGTGGAGCTGTACACTCCTTCACCTCCTTGGCTGATTTTTTCTTCGAGCTTGTTTTTGGACGTTCACTGCGCGTCTCATCGCCCTCTGTCTTGCGAGCGTCAGGCTCTCTAGATTTTGACCTGTGCTCTACCTGCTTGTCCAACTTGGATGACTTGCTGTTAGATGAGCTCTTTTGTTTTTGCACCGAGGATGTCGATTTTTTATCTTTACTTGTGTCGGCATCACCTGTTGTTTTTCTTGACTTCCGTTCACCTTCAGCCTTTTTTGACACTTTCACTGGCTGCAAAGTAAAATGACGTGATGATGCTTCATGTAACAGGTGTTGTGCAATCAAAATAATATTGTTTTCACCTCTTTCTTTTTCTCCGCATTTTTTTTCTCAGGTTTGCTTGGCGCAGGAGGTTTTTCACCAGCTAGAACCCTTTTCACAGCCTCACTAGAGTCTACCTGTGTTGTTTTGAGTACAAATATAATAAGTTGTACAATAAACGAACAGCTTAATGCCAATCTTAAAGTGTCATCACATCACCTTTTTGGCTGCTGACTTTGCAAGTACTTGAAGAAATTCGTTGGTTTTATCCGACTCGTGTCCAGCAACTATTTTTGATGGTCGCACGGGCAACGCCGATCCAGTTACTATACCTAGTGCAGAATTCATCGCCAAACCAAATAGAGCATCACAACTAAGCACGAATGGAAGCATGCACACACATATTCTAAACTCATGTTTAGAAATTTTTGAGTGTGTGTACTTACCGACAGCATCAATAGCCTTCTGTAAAAATGCTATTTTGCTTTCCTTGTCCTAGAAAAATGTGTAGAAAATTACATAAACCGCGTCGAGGAAGAAAAAAGAAACTCATTTTGAACTTGCCTTTATATTATCTGAAGTAAGCTCTTCCTGGGTGTACAATCCATCTAAAAAATTTGTCGCTTTGATGACCTGCAGTGCGCGTGCAAAATAAGAACTTTGCTGAAGCCATCCATGCGCCCAAAATAGCGACATGATGAGTGCTTACGTTATGGATAACGTCGTGCAGAAATCGGAAAGGCGGTTTCTTGAGCAGTTTTTCTTGCAGAGGTGGTCTCTTTATCACAGATCCCAAGAGGTCTTGCGTTTTTTTAATTATCTTAGCGCTTACTTCTTCGTCCATCGTGCCTTTGATTGGGTTTTTATCGCCGCTCAGGAAGGCTTGCTTGGCGTTGAGAATCCGATCACATCTTTTGGCAGCAGAGGAACGCGCGGAATCCGGCAACGTATAGTTTCAGTTTAGGATTCATCCCCATGGTAACAAAAAGCCTTCCCGCGATGTCGTATCTCATCGTAGTAAACAATGTCAAACTAATAGTGCTTGCTTCAAATATAATATACATACGATTTAAGTTGATTTATTTGCTCAGTTTAGCAGACTAGAAAAATTTGCTGCCTAAATTGTTTGTTTTCGAAACTGAGGTTGCTGTCACGCGGCTGCATCGCAAATTCGAACAGTGTGCGGTATTGTCACGTATCGTGTATTATCGTCTCGCGCTTTGATTGTGCGGCAGGGCAAGTTCTGTTACAAAGTTTAAATTTGCACAGGCTTTGCAACAAGCACGTTGCTGAAATTATGGCTGAGTGAGTATTCTTCTTAACCTTTGTTTTGCTGCGACAGAGTGTACAGCCGAGTCTCATCTGTCTAGCGAAAAGCGCGGCGAGCTAGAGAGGGATCGAAGGACGTGCACTAGCCTGATATTATTAAATTTGCTTATTTCGCCGGCAGATCTCGTAGTGGAAAAAAAGCGCAGTCCGTTTTCTAGCTCAAAAGTCAAAGGTTGCCCTTCTTCTACCGGCTTCAAAGCAATTTGCGGTGAAAATAAAATGGGGGGGGGGGGGGGGTAATGTGAGAAGAAAAAAAAACGCGATAAGTCTCTTTCTTGTGCGTCTCGAACACGATCTGGTGCTTTCGCGGTTGAACAGCCTACCACAATGCCCGGAGAGTGCTCGCTTGCAGCAGGTTCACTTGTTTTTCGTAAAACGCTCGTCTTGAGACGATGCCTGCAGCGTCCCAGTACAAGGGGACCCGAGTGGTGTCGCCTGGGCAGGAGGTATTTGCCTGGGCGTAAAGAAGAGGTCGCAGTGGCGCGCATCCGATTTTCGTGCGTGCTGGCTGGAGTGGCCGCTGAGTGATATGTTGATCCTCTAATGGATGGCGCTAATAGCATGCGCATGCTAACGTAATCGGCCGAAATAATTCTTTCTAGGGGACATGAATGCTCAGATACCTTGATGGATACTCAGACACCGATGGCAGGTTATTGCTAGGTCAACATAGTCTTGAGATGGTTAATGCAGGGCCTAAGTGTGAGGGGCAGAGTACGCGGAAAGTCGGACACAGGCAATCGAGCATTCATTATTGTCTTATACCCAGGGAATCTATAACAAACTTAGAGAGATTAGAATAGACGAGGATGACATTAACAGCTTGAGCATTGATTACAACTGGGATATGAAACTGAAAATAAGAACATAGAGTCAAAGCTCGAGAGCTCGTTTTTAAATGACACACACAGCTGCAAAAGTCGAGGACGAAGTAGGAAAACTACTGGGCAAAGACTGGGAGTATAGTGGGCTGTTACAGGTAATGGCAAGGGCGATGGAAAAAAAGAAGTTTACTTGCTGTAAAGAAAAGAGAAAGCCAAAAAGTTGGTGGAACAGAAGAATTCGAGAAGCAACGTGAGGCATCACGGGAGCACAGACTGGAAATAAGGGAGAAGTGGCCGCAGAATGAAGTCAACCAAATATTGGAAACGTATTTAGAGAAAAAGAACCATAGTGCCGAAATTGGTTGAGGCAAAAATTAAAAGTGAAAGTGAACGGTGGATGACAGAAATTTGCAAAAAGAAAAAGGCTGCACCCAGAATATTTTGTAGCCACCTAAAAGCCCTAGGTAGGAAGTGTGTCACAATGTAGTAGCATAGGGTAGATGAAGGAGGAAATAAATTGGTGGGGTACCAAGCACTAGGTTATATCCAAAAGGTAACAGTAGATTCGTTTAAAAAGTTCGTCCTGCAGGGGACTTCTCCGGGGAGTAAAAGTATGAAGAAGAGTGCTACAGAGGAAGTAGTGGTACTTGAGAATTTCAATTGGAAGAAGGCCGAAGTAAAGCTTTCTAAGCACACTACTCCGGGCTTAGATGGGGTTCCAGTCCATCTCATTAATGAACTAGGAAAGAGCACTGAAGAAGCACTAATGAAATCCGTAAAAAAGTGCTTACATGAGAATGAAATACCAGACACTTGGCAGAAAAGTAGAATGAAATTATTCTATAAAGGCAAGAGAGAAAGAATAAAGGGCCAGTAAACAGCCCTGAGGTCAAAATTTTTTTTAAAGAGATATATGTGCAGTTTTTCTTTGTGAACATGCTGCCGCAAGAATTTTGTGAATATGTGCTATATTGTCATCGTCTTTCTTGGTCTCGCCGTGGTGTGGACAGTCATCAAATTTCGTCCGTATTTGTACGGCCGCTCCTTCAAGGTTGTTAGCGACCATCACTCTTTGTGCTGGCTCACCAACCTTAAAGATCCATCTGGTCGTTTGGCGCGCTGGAGCCTAAGACTTCAAGAGTTTGACATGACCATCGTCTACAAATCTGGGAAGAGGCACACCGACGCCGACTGTCTCTCACGGTCGCCAGTGGAAACTGTCGCTCCTGATGACGAAAACATCGACGCAGAATTCTTGGGAGTTGTCAACACAGCCACTATTGCACGAGAGCAGCGCAGTGACCCTGAGCTGTTACCACTCATTGAATATTTAGAAGGACGACGTAAAGACGTGCCGCGGTTGTTTGCTAGAGGACTGCCATCTTTTTGCTTGCGAAACGATGTTCTCTATAAGAAAAACTTCTCACCAACTGGTAACCCGCACTTGCTCGTCGTGCCTGCCTCTCTTCGAAAAGAAATTATGGAAGCGTGCCATGATGAAGCAACTTCTGGTCATCTAGGCTACACCCGAACATTGTGCCAACTACGATGCAAGTACTACTGGCCAAAGTTACCTGCTGCTGTTAACCATAACGTGCGAATGTGCACCGACTGCCAAAGACGCAAAGCGCCTCCCAGCAAGCCAGCCGGCCTTTTACATCCAGTCGAAGCACCAGAAAAGCCGTTCACCCAGATTGGAAGGGATTTCCTGGATCCCTTTCCAACTTCCACAACAGGGAACAGATGGATTATTGTGGTCACTGATTACCTGTCCCAATATGCGGAGACTAAAGCTATGCAGCATGGCACAGCAGCAGAAGCCGCTCAGTTTTTCATCGAAAACATCGTCCTTCGGCATGGCGCTCCGACAACAGTGATCACAGACAGAGGACCTGCCTTCACCGCAGAGCTTTTGTAGTCGGTTCTCAGACTCAGCGGTACAGCTCACCGGAGAACAACTGCATACCATCCGCAGACAAACGGACTGACGGAGCGCCTCGATAGGACCCTCACAGACATGATCAGTATGTACGTTGACACAGAACATAAAAACTTGGATCAGATATTGCCGTACGTGACCTTTGCTTATAACACCGCTCGACAAGAAATTACTGGAATGACACCGTTCAGTCTGATCTATGGTCGCGAAGTCACGACAACATTGGACGCCATGTTGCCGCATGAGTGTGATGACATCCATGTAGACGCCGAAGAATTCACTCAGCGTGCCGAAGAAGCCAGACAGCTTGCGCGCGTGCGCATCTGTCATCAGCAGCATCAAGATGCACAACGCTACGACAACCGACACAAGTTTGTTAGCTACTCACCAGGCGACAAAGTGTGGGTCTGGATTCCGATACGTCGACGTGGACTGTCTGAGAAACTGCTAAGACGGTACTTTGGTCCATACAGCGTCACGCGACGCTTTAACGATGTGAACTACGAAGTTGTTCCCGACACTAATTGTAGTTCTAAGCGCCAAAAGTGTTTGCCCGAAGTCGTGCACGTCGTGCGTATGAAACCATATTTATCGAGTTAATTAGCTCCCGGTTACCGTTTTCGTACGACCACTTCATACGCCTGGTAGAGCACCTAAGTTGCGCATCGGGACGATGATTCTTTCGGAGGGAGGCAAATGTCACGTGCTTGCCCAAGAAAGACGATGACAGTTCTGCATGTGCCACGAAAGACTACGAAATGGACAAAGAAGAAGAACTCGCTTGCGCGTTCTAATTAAAAAGATCGACCTGCTTCTGGTGTCTCAGTCTCTACTGCAAGACCTCTGTTTTGACGTCGTGACAATATTAAGGAAGTTAACAGGGGTTAGAACATCGGTCTAAGCTGGTTTCAAATTATTATCTGGCCTCGCCCGCCTTCTCCCTTCCATGAAGGGGGAGGTTTAGCCCACTGTTGTGACTCCGCCCTCTTCGGCAGGGTGACACCACGTCGGCGATTGACGTCATCGGCGAACTCAATCAGTCGCAACGCACTTCCGCTTGCTGCGAAGCATGGTTGTTTGTTTACTGTTTGCCGCACCAGCCGCAGGTCAACCGTGTAAGCGTCAGGTGCGAAGTGTCGACCACAAACGATCAGGTCCCCGACGTACGTCGTTGGAAGGCCAATTCGCTTCAGCCATGCAGCGTGCAGGACCCCATCGTAAGGCATCCAGTGCCGATGCTTCTCCGCTGCCCAGTCGCTCGATTTGCAGCCAACAACAGAGCTACGCTTTTTACCCGCGTTGCTCATGTAAAGGGCGAAGTATGTTCGTTTGTGCGCACAGGTGCTGTAGTTGAGCGAGGAGTGTACATGTGCACGCGACAACTGCGAGGCTGGTTCTTTTACTGCAGTGCCAAGAAACAAGGGGCAGTTTTGTAGCTGTGGGTGGGAACAGGAACTGACGTTGACTTCACTTCTGTTTTTTCATACCTGATTTAGACCAATCGGCGAGCTGCGTGCTACGTCACGTCGCCGAGTTGACGTCACTGCGCGTGCAAGGGTGTCGGTCAGGCGTAAAAAAGATGCGCGTGAATTGTTTTTCGAAATAGAGGCTCTGCACGGGGCACAGCGCTTTAATATTCAGAGAACGTGATTGTTGCTGTCTAATCTACAAATTGCCGAGCTTGTATTGGGGGTGTAAAAAAAAAGTTGGAGCCTGTTTACTGGCCCTTTAACATTTGCTCGTATAGACCACTAACCATTACATCTGTACTATACAGGTTGGCGATGCAGGCAGTAAAATTAAATATATAAGCGTGAGTAGAGCAAAATAATATTTTGGGAGAACTTCAGAATCGATTCTGAATCGACAGGCCACAAAATACATTTTGTATGAAATGGGAAGGATAAGTAGCAATGACAGCTTTGAAATTAACAAGGGGCTCAGAAAGGGATGCCCTTTGTCCCGGCTGTTATTCATGCTGTACATGTTGATGATAGAAATAGCACTAAAAGGTAGCAAAATTGGGTTTAATCTGTCACACAAACAGGGTGGCGTGATGGTTGAGCAGAAGCTTCCAGGTCTGTTTTATTCAGACAATATTGTCATATTTGCAAATAGTCAAGACAATATACAGCGGCTTGCAGATATATATGGAGTGGAAGGCGAGGCTCTAGGACTAGGATTTAGTGCAACAAAATGTGGATTGATGGTAT